GGGTGCATGGTACAGTACCGACCTCCTAAGGCACGAGCGGGAAGATTTTCACAACGGGCACAGTGAGGACTACACCTCGGCATCGAAAAGAATTACAACGCGTGGAAAATCTTCGACGTCCACTCAAAGGAAACATTAGTAGCACGTGATGTGATCTTCTACGAACGACTCACGCTTCAGACGTACCTCGCCAACTTGCACGAAAATCAGGATCCCACAGGTGGCTTTCGTGGTGACCGAGCCTTCGCCTCAGCAGCAGACGAAGCAGACTGGGACGAGCAAAACGTCGACAACGCATCCGAAGAAGCCGGACCTCTCCCGTTCTGCTCCGTCAACGTCCCCATGGACGAAGAAAACCCTCGCGAAAGTGCCAACGCCGAAGTCTTCTATCACTTCGCCGACAATGGTTACGTAACACCTGCAACAGCCAACACCAACGAAGCAAAAAGAGTAGGACCGAATTTCATACCCGACCCAGAAGCGGGAGATGAAGCAGCTTATCCCGAGGACACAACACTCCCCCACTACTCACAGACTGGACTGCAGATTCTCGGCCTCGTCACTGCAGTCCAAGGCCCTTCTCTTCCTAAAGAGCCTGCGACAGTTCAACAGGCTATGGGGGGGGAACACAGGGAGAAATGGCGTGAAGCCATGGACAAAGAGGTAAAGGCCTTGGAAGAACGCAACACCTGGAAGGTCGTTCCAGCAAGCGTAGCAAGAAACAATACCATCCTTACCGGGAAATGGGTCTTCCGCATCAAAACGAAAGCATCGAGAAGTTCAAAGCACGCTAGGTCGTGCGAGGATTTGATCATGAACACGGACGGGACTTCACAGAGACATTCGCCCCGGTTAGCCGACACACCTCTCTCCGAATCCTCCTCGCGATCGCCGCCATGAAGAAAAAGAAACTGCGACAGATCGACGTCGCTAACGCCTTCCTCTACGCACCCGTCGACGCCGAAATCTTCGTCGAGCTCCCTCACGGTACCCACGGGGAACCTAATCAAGTCTGCCAACTGTTGAAATCGCTTTACGGAATCAAACAGGCCCCACGGCTGTGGCAACAGCACCTACACACCCGCCTCATACGCATCGGATTCCGTCAACTGCCTCACGACCAAGGCATGTATCGACTCACCAAAGACGCCAACTACATCCTGCTTATCGTCTACGTCGACGATCTCCTCTACATCGGTTCTACCGACGACATTACTACCTGGTTCGAAGGGGAGCTGAAAAAGGACCTCACACTCACGGTCTCCACTACCGTCACTCAGTACCTCGGGCTCAACATCCGCGAATAAGAAAATGTGATATATCTCAGCGCCGAAAAGTACGCCGACACCATCGCCAAACGCTTCGCACTCACACCTGCTACTATCTACACGCCATACCGCTACACGGCAGGAAACGGCAAAGAACGCCCCGTCCTACTCAAGACCGCCGGAATACGCGACTACCAGCGAAAACTGGGCTGTCTCCTCTTCGCAGCCGTCACCTGCCGCCCAGACCTGTCCTACTCCACAAGCCAACTTGCTACCTATCTCAAGAAGCCCGAAGCAGAACACCTAGCAGAACTCGACCGTGCTCTTCACTACTTCGTGAGCACCGCAACGATCGGCCTGACGTACTACAAAGACACAACTACGCCGACGAAACTAATCGGCTACGTCGATGCCGATCACGCCGGCGACTCAGATAACAGGCGCTCCCGCACTGGCTACATCTACCGCTTAGAACCTATCGGACCTATCTCCTGGCAATCAAGCAAGCAGGAACTAATTGCGCTTTCTTCAGTTGAAGTAGAATATATCGCCCTCTGCTCAGCCACCAAGGAAGGACTCTACCTTCGCGAGCTACTGGAAGAAGCGAAGCTAGCCGAGTTACCTAACTTCACCTTGTTCTGTGACAACCAATCTGCAATTCGCATCGCCAACAAGAGTGGGTTTGCGAACAGAACGAAGCGACCTTTGACCTGACGCAGCGCGACAGCAACGACAAACAACTGACTCGACATTGAGCAGTTGCCCAAGTCGCACTGTATCGAACCGAAACAGTAAAAGTAGTTATAATGTCCTTTCATATTCTCTGTGCTCATCTATTTATATTCTTGTATCTCCTTGCTTTAATCAACTCACTTTGCCCTCACATACCAGCGCGAGGTAGTTCAATGTCAGAATTATATTTATTATAACTGCATGTAGTTTTAGCTGTAGTGTAGTTATTAAGTCTGTAGGTGGTGCACCTCTTCACTTGTTTCCTTTGCTATATGTTCTTCGAAACTATAGTGAAACACACATTTCTCCCAACTCTCTCTTCCAACTCACTCGACACTCACCCTAGGAGAAACCCGCTCGACATCCTAGTAGGGCCTAGGCTACTAAGCCTAGGCCCTAGTTTAATCTACTCGTTCATTCGCGTTAATCTCTCAACATTCAAGAGCTTTATTCAACGCTTCCGCTATTATAACATCTACTTAGACTTTAACTCTACAAAGATCCTAGGGAGTTTCAGCCCAACAAAAACCACTCTGATTTTCAGAGAAACAGAGTAATTTACTCTGATATATAAACCCCTGCCAGGGCGTCCTAGGATAATGAATACTGTGACCGTTAAGAATCAATGCAATGCAGCTGTATCCGCCTTTCCCTCTAGAGGATGATCTAACTATCATTGTAAGCTCTTGGCACAATTAATAGGAATGGTTTCTATGCATAGATACAGTAACACTATAATTGATGCTGCGTGGCAAGTTGGCGTTCGCAACGCAAAACAGTGTGCAACAGATTGAACGAACATGGCGAAAGTTGCCGCCAAGCAATGAACGAACCTGGAATCGATTGGTTCGCACGAAAGCACCTCATATACAGTACCGACACGAGGTGACTGTGGGTGGTTTCAAATCCTCCGGAGATGTGCCAAACAATTGTTTTTCTCCCTCCCTCTGTATGCAGGTGTGAGGTTATCAATTCAATTCCCTGGACAATAAAAATATCCTTTCGGATTTACTCATAAACCCAAGGCTAGCAAAACTAGATTCGCGATTACCTCTTCCTCTGCTTCAGGATTTCGACATTTAGTGCAGAGATTCTTGATGAACGACATGTTGTGGTGTGCGAGTTTCATGACTTTGAAGGGTTTGTTGTAGTGAAAAATTATTGCAAATGAGATGGTTCTCGGGTGTGGGATGGAACGACGGGAATGTGAAGCAAACAGAGAAAAGTGGAGGAGAGGGGGTGGGGGGGGCGGGGAGGGGGGTGGGGACCAATATTTTTTGTGGAACTGTTTGAGTGTACATCACGGAACAGCCAAAAGCACACACTGGAGTCACGATTATACTGTTGAGCATTCGAGATACAGTGTCTTAACGTATGCACTTCGTGTCCATACGTAATGTGGCTTGTTTTGGCAGCATGCATGCAACGTAAGGAAATGCCAAAATCCCACACCACCACCACTGATGGTTTGCGACACAGAACATTCGCGAGATTCGCGAAAGCTGGTTGCTTGCCTTGGTTACCCGCACCACCACCACCCGTAGTCCTCCCATTGACTTCCAGGAGCACCCCAGAATACAAATGTTCCTGCTTAGAGGCCTTCGTTGAGAGATTCTGTATTCCCCCCTGAGTAGAATTTTCCGATATCGCCTAGGGTTGGCCCGACCCCTATAGTCCCGTTTTTGGCGGGAAAGTTTGCAGCTTGACAGAATCATTGCACGAATCATCTCCGCAGCCAATCAGAGACTCCAGATCAAACCATCCCAACATTCTAAGAAAACGATGAAAAAGAGATCATTGAACCGATATTATAACTTTTTAATTGTGAATGATTGTTTCTCTTGACCGCGACTAATTCTGAATCCTGTCGCGCTGTCTCCAGCGCGATCGACGATGACATCTCATTTACCTCGCTTACAGGGTAGAAACTAAGTTTTGGGTTAATATTCGACCCCCAAACCATATTATACTTTATTTAGTTTTGACCGTTAGTCATGCGACATTGATCAGCGTGGAAAATCGTGCGACTGGAAGTTGAAGCAAGCGCGGTCCAAATCTACGTAAACTCCAAACTCCAGAAACTAGTAGCGAAACAACCACTCTTCATGCAATTTTCTTGAATGGGACTATAAGTATCGCGTTTTTCCTGGGGTTTGAAGGGTTTGCCACATAGTCCGCGCGCGGCGATGTTGATCCGTTGGACTATAAACGGGAACATTTGTAGTTGACCCCCCCAACCCAACCGCAACCCCATCCACTCTCCTTTTCGGCGAGTGGGCGCTGCTGGTTCTTGAGGGGTTGGCGCACATGAGCGAGGTGGACGTACAGAACTGTAGCTGCGTTGAAGAATTGGGCAGCGTAGGGTCAGACCAGAACCTCCGTAAACCGAGGCTTGTTGCTACAGTAGTACCTGGCGAGGTCAAGAGCACCAACCGTAAACCGAGTTTATGGTCTGATGTGTACGTGCTGGCGGTAAACCAACCAACATGTTTTCACATCACAGTACTGTACAGGCGTACGCAATCAGTGTACTACTGCCCTGCCCCTCATCGACACGAGTCGAGCATGCGATTATTTCCTTCGCACTTTCACCCGCACTGGTCCTTACACACGCCCCTTCTAGTTTTAAAGCTTCCTTTCCCCCACCCCGTACCCACGACGGCTCGACGGGCTTCGACTCAAAGTCTGAGTGAAAGTTGGATTCAGGTCGGACGTCCTTGTCAAAGTTTCGAGTAAAAGTAGGTTTTCCGTCACGTTCGCGCCGCGCTTCTAGCAATCTCTCCGGTCCAGGCACAAAAAATTGGCGCGAAACAAGCTTCCCCAACCATGGCCGCAGTTTCCCCGCCGCATTCATCGGCAAAGGCACCGTCTTCCCAGACCTCTCGCGATCTAACGGCCAAGCCGCGGCGCCCATCGTCCCCGCGCAACGGAGGATCTTCCTCATCCGACTCTGCCCCTCCTCGCCTTACGATCTTCGACGGGAAGCAAATCCGACGGCGGATGCACGACGACGCGGCATTCACGGCGTTCCTCTCGCACGAGTTCGACCGCCTCGACGCCGACGGTAACGGCGCGCTCTCGCTGGGCGAGTTAAAGCCGGCGCTACTGCGGCTCGGGGAGCTATTAGGGATGCCGCCGGCCGGGACGGCACGCGAGGTTGACGAGCTGGTGGAGGGTCTTTTCGCGTCGTTCATGTCGCCGGATCTCACGGAGGAGATTGGGCGGGATTCGTTTGTCCGGGTTTGCAAGGATATTCTTAGCGGCGCGAGCCACGCGTTAGAAGGTACGTGCAAGTAAACATCCTACATAAGGACGTGCGACTCGGAATTCAGCTCCCCCTCATTCTTCCCCCCTTCCCCTCATTCTTCCCCCCTCCCCCTCATTCTTTCCCCCTCCCTCTCATTCTTTCCCCCTCCCCCTCATTCTTCCCCCCCCCCCCTCTCCCCCTCATTCCTTTCCCCATTCCCCTCTCCGATCCCCAAGAGGACCCGCTATCCACGCTGGTCTACGACGGGGGCGCGCTGCGGAGAATACTGGGCAGCGCGGAGGAGGCGGAGGCGCTGATTTCGGCGCTGTTCGCGGAGCTGGATACGGACGGCAGCGGGTGCATCAGCAAGAGCGAGCTGCGCCCCGCGCTCGTGCGGTTGGGGCTTCACGGGGGCGACAGCACCACGGCCGAAGGTGAGACCTGCTCGTGCCTCTCGTGCCGTCCCTGCCGTTCGTGCTGAGCTCCCTAAATTCTGGATCGAGGGGCATGTGCGATGGGGGCTGGTGCGGGGCGGCTGCGCGGAAAGGATTCGGGAGGGGCTTTGCGGGACGGTGCGGGAATCAGTAAGCGGGGAAACCTCTTCAATTCTCCTTAGCCGCATTCTACATGAAAGAATTCGCAAAAGAAGAAGCAGGAAAAAGAAGAAGCAGGAAAAAGAAGAAGCAGGAAAAAGAAGAAGCAGGAAAAAGAAGAAGCAGGAAAAAGAAGCCAAGCGCATAAGTTTGGTTCGATCCAAGCCCTTTTCGTTCCCCCCCCTTATGCGCGCGAGCACACAGAGCAGGTGTTATAGCGCATTATCGACCACTGCTGCGCGGGCGCGCATCCCCTGTGATCACGCCCCCCATCGCCCCTCCTCTTCCGCTCCCCATCGCCCTCCTCCCCCCTCTCCCCATCAGCGCGCGAGCACCAGGAGCAGGTGCTGGAGCGAATCATCGACCGGTACTGTCTGGACGGCGACGGGGAGCTGTGCCGCGACGAGTTCTCGGCGCTGCTGCTGGACGTCTTTAAAGACCTCTCCTCCGAGCTCGAGGCCGCGCCGCTGTACCTGCCGCAGCGCGCCACCGTGCTCAACGGCGCGTACATAAAAAAGGTGCGCGATCTACGCACCGCATTGCACCGCATTGCTCTGCCCTGCCTGCTCTCAATCCCCTACCTCCCGTCCCCTTCCTCCCCACCTAAATGCACACACCTCTCTCAATCCCTCTGCCCTCCTTGCCCCTCACCTTCCTCGCCTGCCTATCCTCCCCCTCGCCCTATCCCCTCTGCCCTGTCCCCCCTCCCTGCCCTGTCCCCCCTCCCTGCCCTGTCCCCCCTCCCTGCCTCCAGATTCTGAGCAAAGACGACTTTTTCACAGCAGTATCGGACGCCATGTCTAAATTTGAAGAGTGGGACGTCAACCCCCCTTACCCCCCCTCTCCCCCCTGCCCCCTCTGTACCCCGCTGTGCAGATTCTGAGTGACGACGAGTTTTTTACGGCGGTGGCGGACGCCATGTTCAACGACTGGGACGTCTCCCGCAGCGGCTTCTTGTCTCCCCCCCCCCACTGTCAGGTCAACCCCCTTCCCCCTGCCCCCCGCCCTCGCCCCCTCCCCCTGCCTCTAGATCCTAAGCGGCGACGAGTTTTTCACGGCGGTGGCGGACGCCATGTTCAACGAGTGGGACGGGGCGGAGAAGGGCTACCTCGTGTGCACTGACGCCATAGCTGGCTTCCGCAAGCTCGGCCTCGCCTACGGCCTCCCCCCGCCCCTATGCACTCTGTCACCTTCATATCCTCCCCTCTCCCACTGACCCCTGCCAGATCCTGAACGACGACGAGTTCTTCACGGCGGTATCGGACTCTATGTTCGAGGAATGGGACGTCTCCCACAAGGGCTACCTCGTGTGCACTGACGCCATAGCCGGCTTCCGCAAGCTCGGCCTTGCCTACGGGCTCCCTCCGCCCGACGCCGCGGAAGCAGACAAGGTTTACACGTCGCTCTTCCTCTCCGCGGACGTGAATCTGGACGGGTTTGTGGACAAGGGGGAGTTCCGCACGCTGCTGCGCTCGCTCTTCATCGGCATGCAGCTGCAGCTGGAAGAGACGCCGCTCGTGCTCGAATCGTCCGTGGAACCCAAGGGGGAGTCTAGATCCGACGGTACAGAATCCGTTTTCGACGGGCCGAAGCTGCTCGCGTTGCTGCGCGAGGAGGGCGGCGGGCAGCGCGTGCGGAGATTTTTGGAGGAGAAGTTTCAAGAGATGGATAAGGACGGGCGGGGGCGGGTTCCGCGCGAGGCGGTGCGCGCGGTGGTGGCGCACGTGGAGCAGACGAGCGCGCTGCCGTCGCCGCGGCGGACGTCTTTTCAGGCGCCTCAAAAGCGCGCGGAGCAGACGAGCGGGCTGCCGTCGCCCAGACGGACGTTCTCCGCGGGGAGCCCGGGGGTGGGGGGAAGACGAGGGGAACGGGAATCCCAAGCGTTGTTAGAATCGGCGCGCAGACGAGGGAATATAGCGCCTGCTGGGATTGCTGCTGGGAATGCTGCGGGGGACGCGGGGAGTGGTGATTGGGAGAGCGCGGAGCAGGAGGTGGCGTGCGAGGAGTTTGTGGATGCCATGATGCGCGTGCTGCAGCGCATGGGGGACGCCGTGCATGGTGCGTGCGGGTTCAAGGGAATGGACGAGTGAGTGTATGGTGCGTGCGCGAGAGGAGAAGAGGACGTGTGCGTGGGTGTGAGGTTGGGTGGGTGGGAAGGCGGGTGTGTGGGTGGGCGTGAGCGTGTGATTGGGGAGCTCGTGGGGGCCACATGCGCGTGCTGCAGCGCATGGGTGGATGGTTGGGTGGGTCGGTGAGTGGTCCATGGCCCATTCCCTGCCGCATCCCCTTCCCCCTTCCCGCGTGCCCATTTCCCCCTTCCCGCATGCCCATCTCCCCCTTCCCGCGTGCCCATTTCCCCCTTCCCGCATGCCCATCTCCCCCTTCCCGCATGCCCATCTCCCCCTTCCCGCATGCCCATCTCCCCCTTCCCTTGTCACCATTCCCCTGATGTGCGCGTCCCACCCCACCCCCTCCCGTGTGCCTTAGGCAGCCCTATCCCGTGGCAGCACTTCTTGGCGGACTTCCCCCGCCACCCCTTCCCGTGTGCCTCATTCTCCGCCACCCCTCCTCCCCTGCCACCCATCCCCCGCACTCCAGACGACCCTATACTGCAGTTCATGGCGGACGGGGCGAAGATGCAGCAGCTGATGGAGGAGGAGGGCGAGCTGGCGGGTGGGCGGGTGGGCGGGTGGATGGATGGGTGGCCTTCCGTCACGTGTGCTCATTCCCTGCCTGCCCCGTTTCCCTACCATGTCCCTTTGCATGCACTCCAGACGACCCCGTACTGCAGTTCATGGCGGACGGGGCGAAGATGCAGCGGCTGATGGAGGAGGAGGGCGAGCTGGCAACGCTCATCGACATTCTCTTCAGCAGCCTCGACACCGACGGCAGCGGCACCATCTCCTCCTGCGAGCTCAAGCCAGCGCTCTCCACCATGGTGCAGAACATGGGACTACACACGCTCTGCCGTGAGTGCTTTTGAGACGTCTCAAATGCCGTGAGTGCCATCTCTCAGTTTATGTCCGCATTAGTGGCGGGTAGGTAGCGGCGGGTAGGTAGTGGCGGGTAGGTAGCGGCGGGTAGTGAGCTGAAAGCAGCGCTCTCCACCACGGTGCAGAACATGGGACTGCACACCCTCTGCCGCGAGTAAATTGCAGTCACGTGCTATTGCGTGTAGAGTGGTTGCATGTAGTGGTTGCTAGAGAGCTCAAACCAACCCTTTCCACCATGGTGCAGAGCATGGGCCTGCACACCCTCTTCCATGAGTGCATTGCAGCTTCACTGGTAGACCTCCTCCTCTCTGCCTCCCACCCCACCCCTCACCACCGCGCATCACCCCTCCTCTCTCTATATCGCTCGTTCTCTCTATACTGGGCAGGGAGCGCGTCAACAGAGAGGGTGGTGGCACAGCTGGTGATGACGCACGGCAAGGGCCGTCTGGACCTTTCCCTTTCCACTGCACCCCTCTCCACCACACATCACCACTCCTTCTCTGTCTCTTGTTCTCTTTCTGCGGTGCAGGGAGTGCATCAACGGAGAGTGTGGTGGCGCAGCTGGTGATGACGCACGGCAAGGGCCGTCTGGACCTCTCCCGAGACCAGTTCACTGCCTTCATGCGCGTGCGTGCTGCTGTTTGGAGGGGAGGGGAGGAGGGTTGGGGCTTGCATGTGGGGGGGCTTGTGTGGGGAAGGCTGGGTCCTCTAGACCTCTCACGAGACCAGTTCACCTCCTTCATGCGCGTGCATGCTGCTGTTTGGAGGGGGGTTGGGTTGTATGTGGGGGGCTTGTATGTGGGGGGCTTGTATGTGGGGAGGGTTTGTGTGAGGAAGGCTGGGGCGTCTGGACCTCTCACGAGACCAGTTCACCTCCTTCATGCGCGTGCGTGCTTGTATGGGGGGAGGGCGTATATGGGGAAGGCTTGTATGAGGGGGGCTTGTGTGGGGAAGGCTGGGCCATATGGACCTCTCACGAGACCAGTTCACTGCCTTCATGCGCGTGTGTGCTTGTAGTGGGGGAGGCTTGTCTGAGGGAGGTTTGTGTGGGGTAGGTAGGGCTGTGTGGAGGAGGGTTTTATACTGAGATATTCCACATCCCCTGTATCTCCACCCCATCTTGGCGTACCCATGCCCCTCCTCCCCTCCCAGACACCTCTTTCCACCCTCCTCCATTGCCCTCCCGCTCCCTCACTCACTGCATCCCCTCCTTGATCCCCCTCCCTCGCACCCTCTGCAGGCCACTGGCGGGAAGACTGGCAGTCAGACTGGCAGTCAAGCCAGTCAAGCAGGTGATTGAAATGATTCTTTAGTTGACCCATTTGGTCTCCTTTGTCCCCCTCGCCCCTCACCCCCCTGCAGGCCACGATGTGTGACCTGGCGGGCAGGCTGGCAGTCAAGCCGGTCAAGCCAGTCAAGCCAGTCAAGCCGGTCAAGCCAGTCAAGCCAGTGATTGAGGTGATTTTTTAGTCGACTCACAAGCCTCCTGTGTCCTCCTCCCCCTTCACGCGTTCACCCGCTGCAGGCCACGGTGTCTGATCTGGCGGGCAGGCTGGCAGCGAAGCCGGAGGAGGAGGAGGAAGGGCAGGTGCTGGACGGCAGTAAACTGCGCCAGGTGCGGTGTGGGGGAAAGTGGTTGGGCGGGGGAGGGCAGTGAGGTGACAGGTGAAGTGCAGGATGCGAGGACGAGGAAGGGCAGGTGCTGCACTGCAGTAAACTGCGCCAGGTGGGGTGGGGAAAGGGGAGGGGAGGGGAGGGGAGGGGAGGGGGGTGAAGTGGGGCAGGGTACTGGCACGGATGAACAGGTGATGTGCAGGATGCGAGGAGGAGGAAGGGCAGGTGCTGCACGGCAGCAAGCTGCACCAGGTGCAATGGGTGAGAGGGGAGGGGAGGGCAAGGGAGGGGAGGGGAGGGGAGAAGCGAGAGCATGGGGAGGGCTGTAGAGGGTGGCACGCTGCTAGAACGAGCACCCACAGGTCAGACAAACTTCCACTCCCCTTTTCTGCAATCTTCCAGCAATACCCATTGCTCTGCTCCTCACCCCCACAACATCCCCCCGCTCCCCTCTCCCTTTCCCCCTTCTCCCCTCTTTCTCCCTCCCTCTCAACCCTCACCCTTCCCCCCCTCGCCCTCTCCCCTCTCCCCCCCTCTTCACCCTCAAATCCCGGGACACCGGTGGCTCTTCCAGAAGATCTGTGAAGAAACCTTCACCGCATGGGCCCTGTCCAGGAAGCATCACCTCTTACCCACTCACCACCCCTTTCACTCCCCGCTGCCCTCCCCTCCCACCTCTCCCCCCTTGAGATCCTCGGGGACAGGCGGCTCTTCCAGAAGATCTGGGAGAACACCTTCACCTCCTGGGACGTGTCCTGGAAGCGCTGCCTCTCCCCCTCTTCCCACTCCCTCTCAATCCACACCCTTTCCCCCCTCTCCTGCTCTCCCCTCCCACCTCTCCCCCCATCAGATCTTGGGCGACCGGCGGCTCTTCCAGAAGATCTGTGAGGACACCTTTACCTCGTGGGACGTGTCAAGAAAGCGCTGCCTGTCACGGGCGGACATCAGTGCAGGGCTGGCGCGGTCCGGCATGATGTGGGGGCTGCCCCCCCACAACGCACGCAACGCCGAGGAGGTGTACGACAGATTCTTTCTCAAGGCTGATCTCGACCGGTCGGGGTCGGTGGAGCGAGCCGAGTTTAATGTGTTTCTGAGAGGCGTGTTCCGATCCATGGCTGAGGAGTTGGAGAAGAATCCTCTTGTGGTGCATACATCCAAGGTTCGGCCACCCAATGCTGGCTCGTTGTGAAGGAGATGTATAGAATGCTGTTGCTTTTTACACATCCTCCACCTGACATAACACAGGCTATTATCAGTATGTATTGTAGATGTTCTTATGTGTATAATAAAAAGGCGTGTACTATCAATATTCACCTGAGCAAAGCAGTCAATTCACTACCATATATGAGCAGCACTGATACTGTAAGGGACACTGTAATTGACACAGTGAAAGGGGAATGGACAGCTGTGCGTCAACATGTCTGAAACTGGTGCCACCAGCCAGCCATCGGTTCATATCCCAGCGAAAATCATGGTAACTACCGGTAAACAGTTCCACTGAGGCCGATCAGATGCCACAAAGCCTGGATTCTTCTGCCTGACCGCCTCCCTCTGCCTGCCTGTATGCCTGCCTGTCTGCTGCCTGCCTGTCATGTCTTGGCTGCACTGCACGCAAGTGACAAAACTGCAGCCCATCAGCTCGGCTGCCGTGACCCACCCACCTTACTCCATGACCCCTCAAGCATGCTGCACTATGCCCGTGATCAATCAGCTTCCTACCGCATCACCCTAAGCTCTTACTCTCGTGCTGCTTCACCTGCTGCTGCTTCTGCTGCTACTGCTGGGCGCTACAAGTGCGGCTCCGAACCACCATCGGAGTTGCCAAGGTGCTGCCAATCAGCTGCTGCCACGTGCACCAGGCGAGACGCCATGCTAAACAGTGCAAAGCTATCCTGGGTTAGACGCCGATGCCACATGACCCTGTGCCACCACCACACCCTCCTCCCCTGCCCCTTCCTCCACACGCGCCCCTTCCCCTGCCCTCCCCTCCTCGCCGCTCCCCTCCAGCCTCCGCATCTCCCCACCACCACCATCTTCCGCATTCCCCTCCTGCCTCGCACCCCCCCCAGCCTCCCCGCCATCCTCGTCCCGCAGAACACGAGCAGGGGGCGTCATGGCAGCGGCGCTGAGCAGCGAGAGCTCGTGCAGTTCGTTGAGCACCCACTCCTTGCCCGTCTGCCCGCCCAGCACCACGGCCTTCGTTCCCCCCACCACGCACGTGCTGTGCCCCCACGCTATCCGCGGCTGCTGCCCCGGAAACGCCAGCTCCCGCCACCGCGGCTTCTCTTCCCCCGGGTCGAGCAGGTATACCTGGGACGGGGTAGGACTCACCCCCGCAATTGATCCCCCGAACACTAATACGCGCCCCCCGGGCAGCGCAAACGCAACGTGGTCCAGCCTGGGCGGGGGCGACGCTCCCCCTGGCGTTCCGCCGGTGCCCCCCCCGCCCCCTGCCCCACTGCCGTTCGCCCCGCCACCTCCCCCCGGGAGAGGCGCGTCGGGGGAGACGGTCTGCCAGTTGGGGTGCTCGTCGGCAAGATCGATGGTGAACGCGTCGTTCGACCGCAGGCGCAGCGCGCCGCTCGTCGCCAGCCCCCCGAACATGAGCACCTTGCGCCCGCCCAGCGCGGAGAGCGTGTGCCCCAGGCGCGCGGGCGGCGCCCACGCCACGCGGATCTCCTTCCACGACGGCGGGTTGTGCGCGAGATCGAGAAGGAAGGTGTCGGAGAGCAGGCGACCGGACGCGGTACAGCCGCCGGACACGACAAGCTTGGACCCCTCGACGGTGCATGAGCTGTGCCACGACCGCGGGTGCGGCCGCTGCGGGGGTGCGGCCGGCGCGGGCGCTGCTCGCGCGACTGCCTGCAGCTGCTGCTGCCGGCGTTGGTGCGGCTCCTGCTCCTGCTGCTGCTGGTGTTGTTGCTGTTGGTGCTGATGCTGTCTGTTGTCCTGCTGCTGATCATCTTGTCTCGTATCCAACGGCTGGGTCGCCGCCTCTCCCTGTTCCCGCCTCACAACTCCCTCTCCATCCTCTGCTGCTTCCGCAGCTGCCCGCGCGTCTCCACCGCTTCTCAACACCAACCCATCCCCCAGGACAGCATTCCCCCTCGCGCTACCCCTGCCCTCCCCACCAGTCCCCCCGTCCCCAGCGCCAGCACCACTGCTACTCCCGGCATCCTCCCCCACCACGACCTCCCGCCACTTGGGCTGCTTGTCGTCCAGGTCCAACAGAAACGCGTCGTTCAGCAATCCCTCGCGCCCGCACCCGCCGAACACCACCAGCCCCGACCCGTTGACGCACGACAGCGTGTGCCCCCAGCGCCCGGGGGGCGCGGAACCCGCGACGGGGACGTGCCGCCACTCGGGCATGTCGGACGCGAGATCGAGAACGAAGGTGTCGTTAAGGGGCTGCATGTTTGCGCCCTCCCCGCCGAACAGAACCACCTTGCTGCCCACGGCGCACGCGCTGAAATTGCACCGCGACGGCTCCACCGACCCTTTTACCGTGACCTTGCGCCACGTGGCGGCTTCCAGCGTCGTCATTTCGCGCGCAATCTGCGCCCACTTGACCCGCTGCAGCCACTGCGACTTCTGATGGTTCTCTATCAGCTGCCGCTGCTGCTGCTGCCCCACAACCGTACTCAACCGCTTCCCACCCGCCCCTTCTAACCCTACTCCCCTACCAACCGCTCCTTCGAATACAACCTTACTCTTCCCGTGCCACGCATACCGCCCTCGTCGCACCACCTCCTCCGCCGCCTCCTCCTCCTCCGTCTTCCACCCCACCGTCGCCTGCGCCTGCACCGCCGCGGTCGCCTCCGCGCCCCACACGTGCTGGCACGCGCGCTGCCACACGTCCTGGCTGACCGCGAGCTGGCGGAACCGCCGACACGACATGGCGAGCGACGCGATGTCTCTGGGACCCAGGTGGCACATTACTCGCTGCACTAGCACCTCGTCGCTTACTTGCAACAGCCCGCTACACCCCCCGCTCCCGCTACCGCTGCCCCTGCTCCTACCGCAGTCGCTGCTACTGGGGTAGCTCCGCCCTGGCCCTATACATCCCCCGCCGCCCTCCCCTTCCCGCGCGCATTTCCGCCCGAACCCTGGGAACGGCGCGTGGTCGTGCAGGCAGCACGCGGGCCACGCGCTGCTGCTGCTGCTACAGCCAGGGGCAGAAGCACTCGTGCTGGGCACGGCGACGGGCGAGGCGTCGTTGGGATCCGCGCGGCTAGAAGAGCCGACAACTGAACCGGCTGGCAACCGGTCGGAGAGCGGTCCGGGCTGTCTAGAGGGTGGCCACCGAGATGCAACCACAGCGGCTGCGGCGGCGGCGGCGGCTGAGGCTGCCGCCCCCGACATAGGCAGATGCTGCGGCTCCTTGTGCGGCGGGCCTGGCAACGGGCCGAGCTCGACGTTGGTTTCTGCGAAAGACTGCACCCCAACGAAATGGGTAACTGTGCTAGTGTCGCTTCCGCGAATCGGCGCGATGCAGAGGGTATTCATGATGGCGCTACCGTCCTTGCGGAAATTGAGGATCTCCCCGCAGAACTCACGGCCTTCTGCGATGCACTGGCGTAACCTCGCGACGGTGGCGGGATTCACGAGAGAGTGCGGCCGCTGCGCGAATGCCCCGCGATACTGAAGGAACCGACTGCGCGACAGACGAACAAAAAAAAAGGAGTTCAGAAGGACGTGGATTTGTGGTGACGGAAGGGAAAAACGAGCGACGGAAACACGAAAAGAGACACCGCGATGAACGAGATGTTTAAGAATGCCAGTAAACGTCAGCATGCGCGTACCAATTCCGTCCAAGAATATCTTCCGCCGTGTAACCCGTCAGGCGCTCGAACACACTATTCACATAGATGATAGGATGGTCCGGTTCTAACGCGTCTGACACTATCAGCCCGCACGGCTTCGTCGCCATAAGGCCCTCAATCGTCCGTCTACTCTCGTCGCTAACTCCTCGCAGGAATGACGGCAACAATCTCACTACGTCTAAGTCACTGTTGACGTCCCCTGTTGCTGCTACACCGTCCTTGCTAATGCTGCTGCCAGCACCCCCGATTCCGATAGGTCCGAAGCCGCTCATCCCGGACTCGTCGTCTGAATCGCTCGACCACTCCATTGCCGTGAGTTGCTAACACTAAAGTCAGGACAACTACCCGCTTTCAACCACGCTATTAAAAAATGCTGCGTGTAAATAGCTGACAGATTCTTACCACTACTCGGGACCCTGACGAGTAGACGTATCTGTCGCTGATTGCTGAGAGGTGGAGATTTCACGATACAGATCAAGCGCAACCAGTTTCAAGCTGCCAAAAGCACAGCAACTAGCGTCCGAGGCTTCAGACTACGATGAATCGAGCCGACCTGGATCGAAATGGCGTAAAATCTCGGCCCAGAACAACTTAAGCTTGAATCTAAGTAGGCGGTGGCCAACCATGGAGCCTAGGTGCGGCATCTACGGTGAAACAATAAGAACCTGCTAGCACTAGGGTAAACGCCCGCAAGAATATCCCCGATAAATCTCACGGATGTAATCATGGGCTGTTAGTAAGGAGTTATGAGATTACTGGGACCAATAGCTACTTGACAAGAACTGGAGACATGAGACTACGGATGAGGGTTTGCTCTAGGAACTCGCTGATAAGGAAGCATTCCCTAGACAACTGCTGATGAGAGCAAGTCACTGTTCACAGGAAATGCTGATGATGAACTCTCTAGAAGGGAAGAGAAGAGAAGCGAAGAGAAGCAGAATGGTGACGGCGAGCTGGTGTGGTTCCCGCATGGTGGATGGATGAAACCCTAGCTCTGTCCACTCCTGAACCTGCATTTCCGTCACGTCAGCCTCTGACAGACTTTCCCTCTTGCCCACGCTTCTTGGTGCAGAACTCTGGTGTCCAGCCGCTAACGGAAGCATCTCGGCCATTCATTTCGAATGCCACGGACACATGAACCATGACATAGGAGCTGCCCGTTATCCCTTAGGATATTTCCTTTGCAGCTCCACAGCCACCAACAGCACTCGAAAAGTCCCAGATATTTTATAAAAAAGTGCAGATATTTTCTTCCTGTCGGCTGCTCCTTTCATTCGCTGTGCACATGCAACTCCTTTAGCATCACCGCTCTGTAGTAGCACAACCTGGCTTTCCTAGCCCAGCTTTTCCGCGTGCAGGAGTTGAA